TGTGCCCCTGGTGGGCGATGGCCCCCCCAACCCCCACCCCCCCATTCTTCCCCTTTTGGCTTGGCGCCCGTGTGGACCACCACAAACAGGGGCAACCCCCAGCCCCCTCCTTTCCTTCCCCCGGTGGCCCCAAAACTTTTGTTGGAGACCCGGGCCCCCCAGGTTTTTAAGGGCCCCCCTGTTTTTGGGCCAAAACCCTTTAGCCCCTTCCCCCCCTTTCCCCCCCCCCCCCACACATTTCGCGCCCCAAAAGGAGTGTGGGAGGGGGGAGGGAGGGGGGGGGGGGCTACCCCAACCCCTGCTTGTGACCGTCCGGCACCGGCACCCCAGCCCCTGACCCCCCCTGACTGAGCCTCCCCAAGGCCCAGAAGGGTCCCGTCCTTGTGACATTCGCCGCGGCGCCGTTGCGCAAGCCGGGTTGCTCTTCGCGATCGACCGGCCAAAGCACGACGGCATGATATTCCATCGTTCGGCGAGACCCGAAGTTCCGCGCAGGCTTTCCATCTGTGTGAGCGGTTTTCGTGCGCGCTCCCACCGCCTTGGCGGCGGTATCGCGGGAAGGTGGAGCAAGGTTTAAAATTGCTGAGAGATGGAGAAAAAGAACGTACTGGAGGCAGGCGCGTGCCTCAGGAGACAACTTTGCAGCCCTGGGGGCGTTGGAATCCCAAATCCGACCCCCATCCCCCCCCCCTCCCCCCCCCTCCCCCCCTTTGGAGGCTCGCTGGTACCTGCTGCGTAGAACGGAGGAGCACATGTTGTTTTTGCCTGGTCTTGTTTTTTTGTGTTCTTACGAATGCTGCGCGGCGGGTACGGCCGATTGATTTGGCTTTGTTGTCGACCCCCCTGAACTGAAGGAAGCCCGGCTTTGGGCACCCAATTGGTGTGTCGTGTAAGGGTCCCCCCTTTTTCCCCCCGTTTTTTTTCCCCCCCCCCCCACCCCTCTCGCTGGTTACGGCGAGACCCCCTTCCCCCCCCCCCCCCCTCGTCTCCCCAGGCGTGGGGTTTGCGCGCGCGATCGAGATTGAAATTTTGGTGTTGGCTATTAGGTTGAAACCACACCCTGAGCGAATGATTGGGACTTGACTTAGTGAAAGGTGATCGATGGTGCTAGTGTTTTTATCTCTAGCGCTAGGTAGGCTGAAAAGTTTGAGTCAGGCAGAGAGGCGTGCTCGTAGGGAGGCATTGGATCGCGAGAGAAGGCTGGCGGCGATAGATCTTTTCTTTTTTTTGCGTGAAAATTCGTGTCGTACCTGAGCAGCGGACTTGTTGGACAAAATGGTGCCGGCGATGATGGTTTCCTATAGGGATGCTGCCTTGCACCCCCTCTGCGTTGCTCATTCCTGTACAACCCCACCGAAGCTATAATGTCTCCGACTGTGTTGTGGTACACGGAGAAAGTCTGGCCGTTGTTTGTCCGTTCATTTTGCTGGTGCGAAGAGTGTGAGAGTGACCACTTAAGGGCCTGAAAGGGAGAGACGAGAGGCCCAAAGCGTGGAGAGACCCAATTCAAGATGTTTCAGCCGCAATTTTTTTTTTGCTGCCATACGCGGACGTGATTCCGTTGCGGTGGGACCTGGTGGCTTGTGTCAGCCGTTCATTTTGCTCGGCAGCCAAGGCGACCTGATGATGAACGAGATTCTCCGAGCTTTTGTTGTGATGACACAATCGGTGTACGATTCACCACCACCATCATGATGATCATCGTTCTGCCCCCCGAGACAGATCGTGATGTTGGTCCCTTGGGTTTTGTTGAGGTGGTTGACGGCTCACACTGGACGCGGGTGTACACGAGCCATAGCCATGCCGTGTCGACCCACAAGACAACAGTAACCGCCCTACGCTTATGAATTCCGTCATCACACCCCACTCGCCACCACGTAATAATCGTGCAAGCTCCTACATTGTACGGGTGCAAGTTCTGGCCTTCTCCAAAAGAAAGTCTGCAGAGCTGACGCCAACACCACCGGGCGGCCTGCTGTTTTTTCGACGAATCGAGGCCCTCCCTTGAAAAAGACTCCACCAACCACAACTTACAACTGGAACACACTGGAGTGTTGCTGCTGTGGTGGCTTCTTTCTGCGAGGAAGCAGACTGTGGCTGATTAGAGAGTTCGTTCGCAAGCAGTTCCTGCAGGATCAATATTTTCCTGCAACTATCTACACGCGTAGAGGCCAACCACCAACAGCCGTTTCATTATTAACACATCCGCAGGAGCGGACTACAGCAGCAGGTTTGCGGTAGATACACCTTGCTGACGATGGGTTATCGTGCGAAGCCGACGAGCACAAGAAGACGAGAAAAAATTACAGCAGTCAATTCTGAAGTGATGCCGTCTTGCGAACTTCCGGCACGTGGTGGCTGCTTTGTCGCTTGGTCTTCATATATATGTGATGGTCAACGGTAGCATGGATGGGTAGCTTGCTGCTGTAGCTGCATAATAAATATCATTGCGTGTAGGTACCAACGTACCGCAGCCCGCTGACCCAACTGCTTGCGCACCACACCCTGGATAATAGGATGGATATCAGCAGGATAAATTATCAATAGAACACCGAACCGATAGGAAGAGTGCACAAATCGTTTCGAGACTTACGGTTTCCGACTTGTTCCGACAGCATGTATGTTTTTTTTCTCTCTATCGGTATGAATTTTCTCCGAAGAAAGGCGTTGTCTCGCCTTTCGCTCTGACACGTATCGAATACATCAACATGATGACGGCAAGCGATCGGTACCTAGCGGGGGACACAAAAGGTTGAATGCGTAATCGATCAACTTGTGTTGGAGGAACAGTATGCTTAGCACACCATCGATCAGTACCAACTCTGGAGTGTACGAGGGATCCATCGTTTTTCGTTTTTTTTATGGAATCTGGCAGACAGAGAGAGTTGTGGGAACAGCAGTTAGTTTGTGGGTTGAAAGTTTCATGTTAGTTGCAGCAAGATATGAGTACGACCTCGAGATAGATGAACCTGGGGAGTGTCTGGTGTGCTTCGCCTACTCTGCTGTAAGTCTGGCTCTTGAGGTCGCGCGGAGTGATCCGAAGACCCGTTCCGTCCACAAAGCTATATATACCGAACACAAATATTTGAAGCAACTGCTGCTGCTGTGTGTATCTCTATTGATTGAAACGCCGTACGACTGAGCGGTGTTGTGATGTTGTTGCAGGGTGCCGCACACACGCCAAACCCTTGATTGATGAACGCATGCATGGCCCCTACAATAGGTACCGTTCTCCCCTTAATGGTAACTGCTGCAACAAACAGGTATCGATAAGTTTACCCCCCGCGTGTTAACCGTTGCAAAAGGTACGGGTAATTCCTCCCGTGCGTGCATGTTGACCGTTGCAACAGGTATCGATAAGTCCCCCTCCTCCATATTATTATTATTATTGACGGTTGTAAAATGTGTTCATATTTTTTTCATCGACCTATTGAAATATCCAGCAGGTGTTGGTGCACTCCTTGAAACCGATCGCAAAGTTCATCATCACTGACTTGCGATATGATATCGTAGAACCTTCACCAACATGTTAGCCGAGAGACACTACATACATTCATTCATACATACAGTACCTACCTGTTGAATCGACCATATAAATATCGGCAGGGACTGCAAATACCTGTTGAAATGTCTAATTGGTGTCGATACGCTGCCGTAATACGTTTTGTATGGACCAATGGCCTGTCCAATAGGGTATTATGGAGGGTGTGCTGCGTACACACCACACACGCAGCAGTTGGGTCAGCGGGGGTTCAAGAGTTCTGCGCGGCTCGGCTGCTGCTGGTTTGAACCTTGAAGAACTCGGAACCAATCATTCCGTTCTTCTTTCGCTTTTATGACGATATGTACGTACGTCCCATCAACATCGTATGCAGGTCTGCCATCTTCTAAGTTTCGTCATTCATTTCCGAGAGAGAGGAGTGTGTGGCAACGCGAGTCGCTCCGCCGTGGCACCCGCTCGACCAGCGCGAATCCCCAAGACACAGCAGTGATAGGTAGTACTTTTGCGCTACACACGTCTCCTCAAGTGCGACCCCCATCCGTTCGGTAGAAAACGTTTACATTTCCACTTGGCCCCAAATATTTGTTTTCTTCTAGTATGTCTTTATCATTTGTCTCGAATGGGTAGTCTTTCTGTGTGTGTTTTTATTATTCCTTAATTTGAAGAAGATGATGAGCTCGATCCGACGGCAGGCAGCAACCGACGTCCTGAGTTTTCGTGGTATCAATTTAAAGATTCGAAAAAACAACCCCAAAAATCCAGCTCATTTTATTTCAAGTACGTTTCAACCGAGAGCCACACCCAGTTTCTGCTTATTTTCCCCCGCCAGACCCACCACATCCACAACACGGGAGAGCCGACAACAACTTTTTTCTTGTTTTGTGACTCCCCAGCAGGCGTACAACATAGCGACGCACTCTAATCACAACCGGCTGGCTGTGTGGTGGTGGCGCTGCTGTGCGTGGCAGACAACAGAGAGAGACAGACCATCGATCGATCGATCGATAGCTGGAGGGAGACCAAGGGGATACCGGTGCGTACCGCGCTTTCCTTTTCTTTTTCATCCCCTGCTATTGTTGTTGCTGCTGCTGTCAGTGCTAGTCAGTTCCCTCGTCTCCCCCCACCAAAAAAAAAGGCTTCCGTCCGTTCTCATCCTCTCTCTCCTCTCGCCCCTGCTGCGGGAAACGCGCGCATCGCACACGCACAGCAGAGAGAGAGAGAGAGAGAGAGCGAACAGCGATGACGATGGTTGGGGTACGGTTCCCCGCTTTGCTGCTGCTGCTGTCGGGGTGGTGTTTGGGAGGCATGATGGCCGCGACTACGTCTAGCAGTGCCGCGGCGGGCGCTACGGCCACGTCTTCGATCGGGACCTCTTCGCCGGCGGAGATTGGTTCCTCGGCGTCGTCGTCGTCTGCATCGGCTTCCCTCTCTGACGAGCTGGCGCCGGTGACGAGCATGGACGCGGGATCCTTCCACGTGGTGGTGATAATCAGGGATAGCACGGTGAACGTGGTGAAGGACTGGGGGGCGAATGGCAAAGGCCAGGTGATGAGAGTTTTTTTTTGGTGCACGAAAAAAGCATGTGCAATGATAATAACCTTGATGCCCGCTTGATTCGGTTATATATAGATATTTGGCGTCGAAAGCCGCTCGGTCGAGAGGATGCAACGGACGGGAAGGAGAGATGTCAATTTCCTGCCAATCTCCGACTCTTCCATTGGAGAGAGCAATGTCTCCCTCCACAAGGAGAAATAACAACAACAACAGCAATGTATAGATCATATCCAAAGGGTGTCCTTCCGTTGCTCTTGCTCCTTGTATTTTCTGGGTGGCTATAAAAGTACGCCAGCAGGGCCAGCCGCCCGCAAGAGCGTGCCTTTGGGATTTGCGATGGAATCGTTCGAAAAAGAGACAATAAATAAATATCGATTGTTCCCCCCTGCCGCCCGGTGATGGGTGCTCTCGGAACGGAGAGAGGCCTTCTTTGAGTTCCACCCTCCTCCCTCCGACACATACATACATGCTTCGTGGCGAGGAGTAGACGTTTTCCCGATCCTGCTGATGATGCAAGGCATGCGAACCTGTTGGTAAAGGATCTTTGCTCCCTCCCGATGTGTATCTACACCACGTCTACTCATATCTTCGGGTGAAACTAGCGTACAGAAGGTTCCTCGAAGTAGCGTGAAGGAGCTTGGCGGGGGGTCGGGGAAGCATCGTGCCGAATGTCTAGATGATGCAGGGGGAGACAGCATCCTGCAACTCCCCTCAGTGTAGCGCGGCCGCGATGTCAAGGTGCCTTCGTTGTAATATGGGTTTCGCTCAAGTCGTCGACGTAGATGGCTGGCTGGGACACATGCTCTATGTTTCTGCTGCTGATGTCGTGGCCGACAAATAACGACGTGTCCATTCATTCGCAAACACAAGCCAGCAATCCAGTGTTGCATCGATAGTTGTGGTTTTGGTGCACCCACACAAATCCGAGACCAGCCCGTCATGTAGATAGCCTCTCAACGCAGCAGCAGCCTCCTCGTGCTATGTACTGAGCGCAGGCGTCCTATGCACGTATGCGTGTATGCATTCATGCACCATGGTGACGGCGGCCTTTCGGTCGTACTTCTTCACTTGTCGTCATATTGTAGCAGTCTTCGGTTTGTATTATTTCGTCCCATCCATGCAGAGCACCACACACAGACAAGCGGATTTTTTTCTTGCTGCGACCATCCTCCTCATGTTACGCCTCACCGAAAACATGACGACAAAGTCGACTACTGGACCACTGCATGTAGCGAGGGACATGGGTCATGCGATGCACCGATCGCGCTCTCCCCAAGGTTGCGAGTTCGAGTTTTAGTCCGACAATTTCATTCGCCGCCTACGATACTGCTGTGGTCATGATTTGAATGTCGCACTCAAATTCTCATGTTATCACCCCATCCAATCCGAATAGAAGCTTGTGACTTGTGGCAAAAGGCTTTACCGTGCCGTCTTTTGGGCTAATTTTTTCGGGGGAAAAGAACACATCACGCGCATGTAGACCCGCCGATGGTTTTAACTCTTGCCAGTTTACGAAGACACCGACCGATACTAATACCGCCAATAGCAGCAGGAAGAGGAACTAAAATATATGACTTCAGCCTTTTATTTTTGCGTTGGTGATTTTTGTTCTTTTTCTACGTGTGGTCTGCGGGAGGTGGGGGGAGGCGTCTCCTGTCGACAGCAGTATACCACTTGTTGTCGACGACATACGCATACAGCAGTATATGCTGTGCTTCGAGGACAAACAACGATGCAGTACCATCCCCAACAAGCAATGACAGATCCTAAAACGTTTTAAAAACGCTATGAATCCATTGCTAATCTGTCTCAGACTCTTTTCTATGATGGAGATGGCTTCGTGGTGTCATATTAAGAAAAATAAAAAAAAACGTTTTCCGAACTGCTTGTTGGTGAAATTTTTTGTTAAATTTCCATGCGCATGTTCGTTCGTCGTTGGTGGTTGCTTTGGGCGCCTGCTCCGATGCTCTCGTGTATGCACACATGCGTCCGCAGCAGCAACGGCGCTCGATATTCGAACATAGCGCTTGGTTACGAATTAATCAACCTGTGGTGCTGCTGCTGCCGCTGACTGTCTGCAGACAGAACTTTTGAGTTCCCACCACTACTCCTGCTGTCGCTTCGCATTTTTCGTTGAGAAAGCGCTAAATAGTTGTGCATAAGTATAAATAGTTGTGCTGTAACGCACGTGTCCCACACGCGTGAAGATGAATTGAGAACATGCATCGTTCTCCTCTCTCCTCGCTATTATATGTAGCAGGCATGCATAAATACATACGAGGGTGAGCGTAAATATTCTTACGCATGCTACTTGACTTGTATACAGCAGTGACCAAAAAGTTGTGAAGGTTTGTATGCATCGTAGTAGTGGCATGTTTTTTTTTAGGTCGATGTTGTTGGTCGCCCCCGTTCTGCATGCATGCGTGGTCCGGTTGGGTTCTTGTATTGCGATACTAAATACTATATCAGTACTGCTGTGCGTATTACGCTAGGACGGTGGCCCGCGACACATTTGCTGTTGCTGCAGCAGTAGATATCGGCGTAGCAGGTATTGCATGTAGTCAGAACGCGAAGACAAGAGAACACAACCAGCCCCAGGATCTGCACAGCAGTGTATGAAAAGAACCAACCAGAATGTTCTTCGGCAAAAGAGTATAATACTACCAAGAGTAGAATAGGAAAGGCGGCGTTCCATTCCCTTCGGTAGGGATCATCTTCACGACACGACCGCAATATGATACAACCTTGTGACCCCCCTCTCTACTCCGCCGCAGAAGTAACACGGCTGATATGCATAGGAAGCGCACGAGTTGTCGTCCATACTGATGTTGTTGTGATTACACACACACCCCTTCCGTGATGTACACACAGCTGGGCCTCAACGACACTAAGGACCGGGGGGACAACAACGGCGACGTCGGCAACCTCCTCCCCGAGGTCGCCCTCGGCACGGACCTCCAGGCCGTCGACGTTACCGCCGGTCTCCGGCACACGGCCGCCATCATGAACGACGGGACTGTCAGGGGCTGGGGCTACAACGAGAAGGGGCAGCTCGGCGTGGGCACGACGGCCCACGTCGGCGACGGGGCGGAAGAGATGGGCGACTTCATGGCGGTTACGGAGCTCGGGGATGTGTCTCCGGTGACCATCTCCGCCGGGGGCTGGCACACGTGTGTCATCGTCGACGGCGACCTTATCAAGTGCTGGGGTGAGTTCGGAACGGGGGGGAGGGGTACTCGCAGGTCTGTTTCGGTGGGGAGGTGGCGAAGGGGGGCATAGGACGAGAGTTCCCTAGGCGGGGTGGAGTTGTTTCGCCAAGCACGTCGCTTACTCGTACCTGCTGGGGATGGGAGGAGGCGTAGGAGTTGACTGGGCTGCTGTAGTTGAGTTATTAGGGTCCCTGAGGTATGCTGCAGCGTCTTGCGGTGCAGACGGGAGAAGCGTTCATCCAACCAGTAAAAACGCTACACAATCCTCGTGCCCGGTGGAATGAAAATCTTTTCTTGTGCAACCTTGCAGCAAGCAGAGGAAAACACCACACCCTGTGATACAAGAGCACAATAAGGTGTTATATTATTGCATGGGAAGAGGAGAGCCATGAACACAACAATATTAAGTATATTTTTGGGTGGAAGAGGAGAGCCATGATGCGGTCCTTATCCTCAGTCAGCTCGTCTGCTTGTGCCATTCGGCCGTTTCTCTCAGCCTTGCACGCATGCTTGCGCATACACGCGGAAGCCGCGGCAGGTTTTATGAGTTTTAGTATTTATTGAGTTACTGCTTTAAATGTATGTGTTGGGGGGGGTTTAAAAGACAACACAGACCTCTTCCACAGACAAAGAGTCCGGGATACGATTTAATTCGTACTATTTGTTGACGGAGAAAACTCGGTTGCGGAGCAATACGTTACTAACGGCGGTGCATTTTTTTTTTTTGCGGGGGAACAACCCCCGAGACAAGTTTGTGACCCTTCTTCTCTCTTTCGCGCGGGCCCCATGCTTTTTATTGTACAAGTTTACCAATACTTGTAGAGTAAATCCATTTATTTCCTTATAGGTAAGGGTCTAGGACAAAAAAAAAGGGGGGGTCCAGGACAAATGAATTAATACGCATAGCATCCTTTTGGTTTTTGTTTCCCTAGGCTATAACCAGTGGGGTGAGCTCGGCTTGGGAGACCAAGAGGACCGTGGAGATGAACCGGATGAAATGGGCGACAACTTGGACTTTGTCGATATCGGATCGAACGCTCGGGTTCTTGCTCTGGCGCTCGGCGACTGGCACTCGTGAGAAAATACAACACAAGCAGTAGTCACGTAGATAGCGGTTTCGGTCCAACGAGAGCGACTGTTTCGGAGAAGAGTACGTTGTGAAGACGGGCGGTTCTGGAAACGCTCTGAACAGGTTCTAGGAACGTTAGAGCAAAGGTATCACGCATACCACGTATTTTTGGCGACCAATTGTCGCCACGGCAAAAGACAGAGTGTTTTCATTAGCACTTCAATCGCCAAGGGGCGCCCCGCCCCCCGGCTGTGTGAGACCCTGGGCTTGGGAGCGGCAGCGTCGTGCATCCCTCGCGTGTTCTTGAACGCGCGTTTTGCTGCCCCAGCAGTCTCTTTTTCCCTCCCGTCTCGTTATGTGGCCGCTATGGCAACTGCGGCGCGCATGAGCGGCGATCCGCTGTCCCCGTGCGTCATGCCTGGTAGAGGACAGGACCAGGAGGACTATAGTAATACCACTCCGTCGTAGCTCAGGATGCGATCCTGTTTGTATTGCAGCGCGTCGATTGTGTCTTGACTATTTTTTAGTGTGACAACTTCTGATGGCTTTCTTGCCGTTTTTTCTGTTGTTGTTGTCTTGGTTTTTGGTTACAAGGTGCGCTCTTCTTGACGAGGGCGACGTGAAGTGCTTCGGGAAGAACTACGCGGGACAACTGGGTCTCGACGACACGGAAAACCGTGGGGACGATCCGGGAGAGATGGGTGACGACTTGGACACGGTGAACCTTAACGGCAAGAAGGCGACAGCCATTGCCGCTGGCGAAGAGCACACGTGAGCCTTAGTTACCGTGGCATGGTGGTGTTTTGGTTTCGATGTTGGGGCGTTGCGTTGTTTCGACTGCATCGGCCGTGTTGTTGTTGTTGTTGTTTGAGGTCCTTTTATCACGAGCACGTCACGTGTTGCCATCCATCTTTTGCCGTCAGTCCACGGATATCCCGTGTTGACACCCAGCCCAGCGGGGCAATAAACGGTCCCCACCTAGCGATGGTTGCGTTACGGGCGCTGCTGACGCTGACGGCTTTTTGCATCGCTCTACGACTGGGTACCGCTGCTCCTCCGTTTGCGCTATTGACTACGGCCAGGCCTCACCGTGTAAAGGTACACGGTGAAGGGGCTGAAGCACTCTGGAAGTTTACACTTGTCGTATATCACCTTCCACTTGATATCGCCTCTGCCATTGGTGCTTTCTCTGCTGAAACCACTGCCGTCCTTGCTGCCGGCGGTCCTGCTGCAGGTGCGCCATTCTAGAGGGTGGCGATCTGATTTGCTGGGGCTTGGGGTCGTCCGGTCAGGTGCGACGGATAAGGCGGAAGGGTAAAAGTTGGCACACCAGAGTCCGCGTGGAGCGGAGGAGTGGCTGCGCTGTGTGCGGTAGTATGTCTGTCTTGAGAAACTTATCGTCTGGTACAAGAGGGACCTGCGGCAAGGTGTGGCTTTAGCGTATGGGCCCGCGGAGCGCGGTGACTGCGGGCCGAAGACGTGTTTGCCTTCCTCTGGTGTGGGGCACTAGTCAAGAAAAAACTGTCTGCGATTACGAGGGGAATAAGAACGCCGTTCTCCTCGCACGACGAGCCCGGCCTTGGCTGGCCGTCACCCCGGGTCCCGGTGCCTGACTGCCGCCCCTCTTTGTCGTTGCTGCTGATGTTGTGCAGCTCGGGCAAGGGAACGCCATGAACGTCGGCGATGGCGAAGGCAACGACGTGTCGTCCCTGGTGAGTGCGTTGTCCCCGTCCGTCTGCACTAAGTTGCTTTTCCCCCCTGTCTCAAAAGGCAGCGCGTTGTGAAGCCAGGTCTGCCTACAACATCTACCCGCAGACCACACACTGCGTTGGGGCAACCAGGCAGTGTCGATGACGACTGAGATTTTCGTGCCCGTCTTTTTTTTTTGGGGGGGGGGAGTTGCGTGAAACCGACGAAGGAGTTTGAATACTATCACACCAACCTTGGCGCTGACGCCTCGTGCCCCTTGCTTGAGTCTCCGTCATCGTCGCTTGGTCCTCGCGTCATATTTTTCATTTTGTCAACGGTCTCTTTACTTGGCCGTTCTCCCCTTATCTCCCCCCTCTTTCTCGTCTCCATCACTCCCCTTCCAGCTAGTTGTGTCGTTGTCCCCGACCTAAAAACCTTGCCATCACCCCCCCCCATCCCCCCTCCCCGCCCCGTCCAGGACCCCATCGATCTCGGCACCGGCCGCACGGCCATCGAGGTAACAGCGGGAGGAAACCACACCTGCGCCCTCCTGGACAACTACGACGTCAAGTGCTGGGGTGAAAACGACTATGGGGAACTCGGCCAGGAGGACACTTTCTCGAGGGGGCTGGCTCCCAACCAGATGGGGGACAACCTGGAGGCAATCTCGCTGCCCACCGGCTGGACGCTGCACTCTCTGTCCGCGGGCTACTACCACACGTGCGCGCTTGTGTCGGAGGTCGGCTCGGTGGACAGCGTCGTGTGTTGGGGGGCCAACTTCAACGGACAGGTGTGTGTGTGTGGGGGGGGGGGGTGTACTCGTGTGCACGCTGTAGTCGTAAGAGCGTTGACCTTGCGATGCCGAGACGGAGCGATCGCTGCCCCTGGCTACCTAGTGAATGAACCAGAAGCTGGTCATCATCCCTGCGTTTGGGAGGTTTCGTGTTTTGGTGGCGTTTTTGATGTTGTTGTAGCTATAAACAAGGAGGATGTTTATTTGCCTAGGATTTCATGGGGCATGCCATGTTGTCCCCAGGTGCTGCGAGGGCAGTGGTCACCACAAGAAACAGCAGAGCTGTGGTGCCACGTAAGTACATCATCGTGTGGGGCGTTTGAAGGCTACTTGCAACGCTGCCCGCAGTGAGTCTACCAGCTTACATGTAACCACCCTCTTGGATGGGTCGCGTCTGATATCTCCGGTGTTTTGCCACAGATCGGCCTGGGCATCAGCGAGACCGAGCACATCGGGGACGAGGAGGGCGAGATGGGCGAGAACCTACAAATGGCCAACCTCGGAGGTTAGTTGCTGCGGAGTCTTGCTCCCTGCTGCTGCTCCCTACTGCTGCTGCTGCTGTAGTTGGTGGTGGACGTCTTGCGACTGGACGAGCCAGCACCGCTGCTGGCATGACCCATCACACCGAGCGTTCTCGTAAAAGCATGTTGTCGGGTTAGTGTACCAGTCTTGAAGGCATACCTCAAATTCCGTCGGCGTGACCACCTGCGCATGTGATCGACCGATGCCCTCTCCCTGCCACCGAACAACAAAAAACACTTTGGACAGGCGAGTTTGTGGCAGAGCCGGGGGACGAGTGGTACGAGAAGCAGTGGTTCTACATCGCGTGCGGATGCGCGGGCGCCGTGCTCCTGTGCTGCCTCTGCGTGCTCTGCCGGCAGGCGCATGGCGACACCAGTGGGAGGGGTCCCGTCAAGACTCACGCTGTCGGTGAGCCATCATACAGTGTACCACGATGTATGCAGTCGCAACACATGTTCACGTACGTCCCAGTAGCGCCTCCGTAGGACCGACCCCCTGGTGGCCGTGTGGCGGCGATACCCACGGAATTGTCGAAGCCGCTTCTTCGAGTTGAGAGTCGAAATGGGCGTGCTTGGCCTCTTGCTGACGCAGACCGGCTGACAATTCGACGAAAAGGGAGAAGGGAAGCAGAGGAGGGTATAAGCCTCGAGGCGATAGTCAGTTAATGTACAATACGTAGACCGCAGTAGTATATCTTAGCCGTCCCACCCGTCCCCTTCCTCACCCCGCCCTCCCTCCCCCCCCTCTCTCTCTCTCTCTTTCTCTCTTTCTTTCCCTTCTCTCTAGCAAAACCCCGCACCGGAGAGACCCCGGCAGACGGAAGATCCCCAGTCCCCGGCTACAAGAAATCCCCACTGCCGGGCAGCGAGGAGACGCCGAACGGGTCCGCGGGAAGCGGCCCGAACTCCCTCGCCGCCGCCACCGTCGCCACCGCCCCCCCCGCCACCGTCCCCGCCGCTACTGCTGCTGTCGGGGCCAAGACGAGGACGAAGGCGTCCCCGCCGCCGTACAACGCGCCCAAGTCTGGCAAGCCTGGGAAGGCCGGGAGATCTGGGGGCATGATCGGGCCGAAACCGAGCTCGACGCCCGCCGCGTTCGGGGGTGAGCAGGCATAGTGGATGCTTTGTGGAAAAATCGTTTTTTTTTTCGGCTGTACGACGGTTTTTCCGGCGTGGTTTTATGTTACGTGGCTTGATGGAAAGTTGAGGCTGGGGGGGGGGGGCTGCGGGTGGGAAACGGGAGGAGGGGTATGTATCTTGATATGGTCTCGTCATGGGTGTAAGGAAGCGAGAATTCGGGCTTCCACCGGTCGACCACCGGAATGCTTGCATCCCGGGACGGGACGGGACGGGACGGGGCGGGGCGGGGCGGGGCGGGGCGGGGCGGGACGGGTCGGGACGGAACCGGGTAGAGAATCGAGCAGGCCACGCATCGGCGTAGACGTGCATCAATGTATGCATGACACGTTTTTTCTTATCCTTTTTTTTTGCGTGGAGAACGTACAAAAGTATCCCAGCAGTACATACGATGATACCGTTTGTTTTGCCCCCCCAGCACGGTTCATTTTTTTCGTACCTTTCTTTCTCTTTGTCTTGTTGTTCGTTTGGTTTGGTTGTCTTGGTGAGCTGGTATTCGTGCGGCAAGCCGAGGCTGTACGTGTGCCCCAAGAGCAATGGACGATAGGGAAGAGTATTGTGTATGCCGAGGGTGCCCGGGGTTAACGTGGTGTGTGTTTTTTTACGGGGGTGGAGGGGGGGGGGAGGGGGGGGGGGGTTGGGCCTCTTGTATATAAGAAGCCTATTGTTTTAGATGCCCCTCCCATGTTCCCCGGAAGGTTGATGGGCGATGGTATCCATCCTGGGGCATGGCACTGCTTTTTTCCCGTAACAGTATCCTTCGCACGAGAGTATTTGCTTAGTGGTGCAGTTTCCAAGAGGTTGTAGCCCGGGCTGTTTCACCATGTATATGAACGTTTTTTGTGAGATATGAACAGGAACAAACGAACCGAAGGACCCGAACTCCAACGACATTCTCGGAGACTGTTTTCTTTGGTCTCGTGGTAAGCAGGCAGGCTGTATGTACATCACTAGATGGGGTTTTGTGGCTTATGAACCACACCGCACACTGTGCGGCGCGGCGGCGGCGGCGGCGGCGGCTATGGGGGGCACCACCGCCATGACGCGGGACACGTTTACGGTACGACCGCGGTTCGAATACAACCATCACCAGCGAGAGTATTTTAGCAAAGGACGGCCTTGAACGCGCGAGTTTACCGACGTGTGGTTTGAGGTGGTATCGAAGGAGAGGTATTTAGTAAGGTAGGACGACGCTTTCTCGGTGGAAAACCTAGGCTGTCAATACCACACGCTGCTCATGCGTGAGGGGAAGAAATCTATGTTGATTTTGTTGTTTTTTTTCGAGTGCTCGCTCGCTCTTCGTGACAACGTGTTTGACTTTGGAGACGTCGCACACGTCTAGTTGCTGACTTTCTTGGCGTGGCCGGTCTAATCACACTCATGGGTAGTGCCCTGCATTTCTTTTTTTTACTCTAGCTTTTTTTCAAGCTTGCTTATCTAGTAGCTGCCAACAAAACTGCGCTGCAGGACGGTGGTGGTGTGTTGCCCACCTTCTTATGAGAGTTGTAACAGTATGTATGTCCTGCGAAAAGGAAGACGACCAGCGGAGATCATGCCTTTCGGTGTCGATGCGTTGGGTTTAGGTCCGGGGAGGCGAGGGCAAGGTTTCCTCTTTTATCATCCATGCGGCACGAAAGGAGGTTGCTATTTTTTCTGAGGATGATGATGACATTTGGAGGGGATTCTCAAAAGGGAAGGTGCTAGTGTCGGTCTCAACACCTGGTTGTTGCTTAGATGCTCCTTCCGGTGGGCTTCGATCGTGCACTTGGCGCGCGCCCCAGGGGGGGGGGTTAGGGGGGACGAGAGATACAGGGTATTAATTGCTTCAGCGCGAGAGGGAAGTATTCGCCTGTTTGTTGTGTTGCCGCTTCTTTCCCTTATTCTAAGACCGGTTTTGGGTGTGCGCCCCCTGTGTATGATGTTTATTTGGCGGCTGCCAGATCACCCGCCGCCCGTTTTCGCCTGTGCCTCTCTTCTTTTTCTTCGTCTTGCCGCGGTCGTTCGAGCGCGCTTACTGGGCGGTCTTGGTTGGCGTGGCCTCATCCCCTCGGCATGTAGGGTATTTAGTTGCTTTGGCTTTTCGCTTAGCATTTAAGGCCGGAGACAGGAGCTGCATGGTACTTCAGTGCAACGAGGGAAGGAGCAGTTTGTTTGGTCTCCAGCGCGGGAGCGCGCGCCAAACCCTTTTTTTCACTTTTCCTTTCCGTGCGGTTCAATTTCGGCATAGATTTTTAGTGTAGAAGTACTTCTAGGTCATTCCGCAGTTATGTATGGGGCGCACACAAGACCAATCGCGTCCTGTTTCTGTCCTCAAGGGGAGAGGTCAGGCGGCGTGGTGGTGGGGGTGTACTCATAGCCGTGCATGCCGTGGTCGTTAGACCATTGACCTCGCATCCCTACAAAGCCGAGACGGAGCAAGCCGGGTTTTCACCGGACCATGCTAGTAGCACATCACCAAGCGCGAAGCGCCGTGAGGTGATATTCGGCGAGTCGCAAGGTCGGAGGGGGGGGCGGGGGGGGCAGTAACGTGAGGAGAACCTTCGTGCACCTTGACTTTGGATGGCGATATGTAGCGTCAATCGATCGGGGACAATATCTGTTTCACGTGTTGTAGCGTGGTTTCATTTACGGGGGCGGGGGGGGGTACATAGGTATTATGTAGGTGGGTGACCTTCGATGATGAGATTTAGCCCTTGCCAGGGAAGAGTTTATTGTCTGATGGTTTTGTACGGACGCTCTCTTGCTGCTGGCGTTCGCGGCGTTCTTGCTGCCGTGTGCTGGTGCTGGAGTTTGTCGGTGCCAGGGGTAGCATGGCGTTGTTGGGGTTCGAACACAAATTTACGAGACGGTCGGTGGGTGAGGCGCGCTGTCAGACCAAGATGAGAATGTAACGGATGGATGTAGAGACGGCGAGCGGTTGGCACGATGGAGGGGTTAAATCCGCGAGGTTCTTTCTGGCCGTGCTCTTATTTTCACGTTGTTGTTGGTTGCTGAGATGCAGAGCGGTTCAGAATCAACATTCTGGTTTGCAAGATGACGGCTTTGGCTTCCATGGGTGTTTTCCCGGGCCTGCCTGCTGTAGCTGGTGCTGTTGTCGCCGCGCCTGGCGATTAGCGAGCACACCATCATCATGTGGTCGGTCAAATTGTTCACCCTTGTTTTCGTTTGCTTCGATTTCGAGCATGGTTTCCTGTTGTTGTGTCGTTATTGAGGAAATTTGGGCCTGTTTATGTCCTCTTGTTACCGTTTTGTGTAAGTTGATGGCTCAAGCAGTCGAGGATTGATTTGTACCTGTCTGTCGCGGGTGGTGTAGAGGGTCAGGTGGGCGAGCAAGAAGAAGGCAATCTAATTGTTGCGGGCGTCAGTATAGTATTGGTGTGCGCGTCGTTGTTGTCGTACGTCTGAATGCCGCATGAAGCATTATCGAACGAGTAGATTCGTCTCCAGTATTGACTGATTGATTGACCAAACCAGATACTACAAAACCAAGCTTTGACCAAACCAGATACTATGAAACATGCAAACAATTGACGACGAGATTGATTGCAGCTGATGGCAGCAATAGCGACAGCTCGGTTTCAACCGAGCATCGTCACCTGTTTTGCTGACGGTCCCAGCATCGTTCTGCCGGGGTTGCTTCGGAGAACACGCTTGTTGTCGTTGTTGTGCATGTATGTGCGCAACCCTCTGGAGATTTAGCAACCAATCAAAGCCGTTATAATATAGACTTGAGGCGCCCTCTTTTCACACCATCACAGAGAGGGAGAGGGAAAGTCATGGTGCTTCACTGACCGTAGCGTAAGACGTCCGTTCGTGGAATGAATCTTGTTCCCATCGGCGAACGAACGTCTTTCTTTTACACATCACCAAGAGACAGTGGATGTATGTCCTTGGGGTGCATAGGGTTGACAGTGACACTTCACCCGCCGTCCTGATAATACTGTTGCTGCGGACATCAAAAGACACGATCCGAATTCCCCTGTTACTCTTCTCTCCCCTCATCCTCGACCGAAAACGTTGAAGCAGGTCCAAAACGCAAATCGTACGGCGGTGTCTGCTTGTTGTTTTGACGATTTTTTCTTAAACAACCACCACAATACTACGACAAAATCTCGCGACAGATTATTTGTGGAGTTTTACAGGGCGTAAGTAATGCCTCATCGAACGAACGCGTTCGTGTGTTTATTTATTGTCCGGGCGACCAAATTTTGTTCTTTTTCGAACACACCACCAAGAAGTTGAGCCACAACCACCTCCTCCATCGATAAATAGTAAGGTGCTGCTTTGTTTTGTGCCACGTGCTTGATCCCTCGTGATGGTAAACAGCTAGCTAGCCCGCATAATATAGCGTTTCGACGATAGGTTTCGCTTTGGCTGGATGAATTGCTTTTTTTGCCGGTTCCCGTGCCATCCATCCACACGCTCACGTTAGGGACTTCATGTCCTGAGCCCGCTGCATGTCGTGCCTGAGCCCGCTACATTTATTTCGTGAGCATTCCATATTATGTCAATATTGTTGTCCCCACCGTTATCAATACCAAGGAAAATCAATCAACACTCAACATCGGCATCAACAGGAGCATCAACGCCAGAGCAATGGTGGGTCGTTCAAACTAAAAAACAAAAATCCTCCTGTAGTCCGTGTTACATTTTCCTCCTGCAAGCGTATATATATGTGGCCTCCCTGATACATACGCCGACATTCTCGCACGGAAAGCTGTGTAGACTGGCGCCAGAACGGAGGGGGGAGACCATAAAAAAACACTTCGTCGGCAAATAACGCGATGGTGCTAGTTACACCGCAGGCAAAAGATCTATCTCACTTTGGAGGACCATAAAACCAGTCTTCTTCTACTACTCATGGATGGATATATATACATATATATGTAGGTCTACTACACTAGGCCCCTACGAGTGCCACGCGTGGATGACTCAGTAGATGATCGGCGCGCCCGAAAAAAAGCTATTATTATCAACGGAACCAAGGAACACTGTAACACCTCCTCTGCATACCAACGGTAGATAACGCTAAATAGGCCACCTCCACCGCCGCAATCACCCCCAGTTCTTCACCAATCAACGTGTCAAGAGGCGCGGCCCGTGAGCGAAACCATATACGAAGTACATACATGCATGTATGTACCCGGGTGCACAGCAAGGCAAGGACTAGGGGAGGCACAATCATTGTGTACCAGCAATTGCGTCCCCAAAACTGAAAATTGAACACTACCCAAAACAAACCTACTTCATAGGAACACCTCAAGAATCGTTTGGCGTCGCTACAAGTATCACACATACAGCGGCTGAGCATGTGCGATGAAAGGATGGAGTGAATGTGTACGGAGTACTAGGCTGTTTTATTCCAGAGCTGGCAAGCCAAAAAATAAAATGCGCTCGCCAACCAAGTTAAAAGGTGTACCAGGCGAAAAAGATAAGCAAGCCTGGTTTCACACGCACGGGTGCGGGGAAAAATGAACACAATTATGAGACGCCATATTACGCATCATATGCTACATATGCACACCAACACCCATTGCCCACGGGTCGATTTACCAAAAGAAGTCGGCTAAGACCACAGGGCCAGGAAAGAAAGGTGGCACGAGGAAAAAGACACAACACCACCAAAAACGCCTCCGACTCCTAGATACTATCATCGAACTGGGACCTAATGACAAAAAAATACGAAAACACCCAACCAGTGACGTAGGGTATTGTCTCGCCGACGTTTGCCGGAGATCATCGTTAATTCCGCCCGGAAACCGTGGGGAAACGGATCCCAAGATTCGACGAAAACAAAATATCCTTTTCTTATCTCGTTCCCCGGCGAGAGGCGACAAAATAACCATCATTCCCGCCTCCCTCGTGCACACCCCTATGCTTCCACATGTCCTGATCGTGAGCGAACCCGTCGCCATATCGGCCGGCCCGTGCATCCATTTATCTACTTCAGCCTTTGTGCAGCAAAACACGCTCGAGGGAGGGTCGGTAGCGCTACGAACGGTGGATCCACGTCATTACACACAAAAGTCGCACACGAGTTGAGGCCTAAAAATAAGTCTCAAGACGTAGGCAACAACCATCGACCACAACCCCCTCCCCCCCCCCCCCTGCCGTTCGCTTTTTACTGTCGCAAACCGTCCGCGAGTGTCTCCTAAAACCCAACACGACAACTAAAGCATATGCTAGTTACTACTTCGTCTTCAATTTCTGCGAAACCTCGTACAAACTCGACGGTCCGTAAACACGCCATCAAAAACCACCTTCCCGCTTCCAACAAAAAGGAAACCTCAATTTCCGCCCCTCATCGGATGCAGCAACCCCCATCAACAAGAAGGCCTTATCCATGTCGAAGCGAACCTCAGATACAAAATATGTAAAAAAAGCGAACCTTAAAACGCCTGTTGGTGGACGCGGAACGCTACATGACAAAACGCCAGGCCTACATGGGTCACACACCAAGTCGGCGTAAATCTCGAAGACACAGACCGCTTGCCCGGCACCACCCACCGCCTGCGGTGACCCAACCTTACACGATGAGACTGGGTCGGCGAGTCACCACTTCCGCATCGATCTTAAGCCTCCCCTGGCCGTCCAGCAGCTGGAACCAGGCCCCGATGTCGCCCGGTCCCTTCGTTCCCGCCGTCGAAATGCCTGCCAGGGGCAACTCCACACGGCCAAGGGGCAAGTCGTCCCGGAGCTTCTGCTTCCCCACGATCCTGAGAGAAAGCTGGGCGTCGATGACGCTCCCCGACGGGAGGAGGAAGGACAGGGGCTCGTTCCACTTGGGATCGCACGTGTTCTGAGGAAGGGCAAACAGCAGCAGCAGCAGCAGCAGTAGGAGGAGGATACAAGAACAGAATTTGGTCAGACACAACAGGCAAGAACGACACTGCGGACGTGACGTGGTTTTTCGAGGCAAGCGGGAGGGGGGGGGCACAGCAGTTGCGATTGAGTGACTGCTGGTCAGGGAGGGTGACTGGTACTGCCGCCGTGTTGCGCACATGATAGAGAACGTTCAGCTCGTTATATGTCCAAGGAATCGAACCCTGGTTGGACAATGAGCACGTACAGTACGGCAGCCAGAGAGAGAGCTTGCCAGCCAGGCGGAAATAATCATTTCACCAAGCACAACAACGACGGGAGGTGGTTCGCTAGGCGGTTTCGCACAGTAATCGGTGAACTCGAGGGGACCGGGGGATGGATTTGTTCTGTTTTATACCATCAAGGATGAACTGCCGCCCAAATACCAAGGATAGGGGGGGTGGGGTAGGGGGGGGGTTGTCTATGTTGTCTGCCCTAGTCATTTGACCGTTGACCACAAGTCCATACCCAGGCGGAGCGCCGTTCCTACGCCCCAACAGACACCGCTAATACCTGGGCCCTTGGCGATTAGTGATTCCCTCACCTAAGAATGTTTATTGTTCTTACTGTTCTTAGAGGGGGGGGGGGGTTATTTTTCGATCACAGGCCGCAAAGAGGTTGGGTTGGAGAGGAATGGAACACTTGCCCGAGCTTTTCGCAGAGCAGCAATGCCGGAAATAGTATTCTACAGGACCCAGACGGCAACATTGCCGCCTTCCCTAGACAAGGACAACTTCCTCCGGCACAAGTTAATTCAGTCGTGGCTCCGATACGTGAGGGGTACCTTACAAAGGGGGGGGGGCTCCAATGTATGAAGGTCGAAATCTGTTGTCATGAACTCGACCCCCCTAGTTGAGTACCCTCTTATTCCCGAAAAAGACGGGGGGCTCATGTAAGAGGGTCGAAAGCCTTTGTTTCGCCACCTTCGACTCTTCTATCGGAGCTACGAGTGTGTATGCATAGTTGTGCCCGTTCATTACCTTTTGCACCGCAGTTCTGCCCTCCCGTCTCCCGGTACGCGTGACCAGCTCGGCGGCGACGTAGGAATCCGTCTTTTTCAGAACGGCCACGTTACGAAGGCCCTCTGCTTCAAGAATGGTCACCCGAAGAATCTACAGCAGGGGGCGGGGAGGCGAACAAACAAGCACGCGCAGGGTACACCGTGTTATAACAAGGGCTGTGCTTGGTAGGAAGGCTGTTCGGGATACCGACCAGACTTGCGGGTTAAGGGAAAAGCAGCTTTTGCGGAGTACTGCTGTAGTGGCAGAAGAAGCCAGCACGTGTAGCACATAGGCACCTCACATTCGCCCACCACAAACGATGCCGGTCGCCCTTGTCAATCTCACCGTGTTCACCATAGCATGTACTACGTTGGAAGGGGCCACGCACATAGCAGTGCCGACAGGAACAGCACACACAACAGAGGAAAAATACAACTAAACGTCGAATCATCACCACGCAATCTAATACTGCTATGTACTTGTAGCATTTTTCTCACCGTCTGAGGCCCGCTGTCATCCACCCCCACCCCCGACATGGCCACCGCCGCCGCTCCCCCCCCGCCGCCCTTCCCCCCGCCCCTCGTCGACGCCTTCCTGGCCCCTTTCTTTAGCTTCGCCATCCCCTTCTTAACCCCGGACGTCGCCCCCCCCCCGTCCCCCCCCCCCAGCGCGATGCCGAGCCCCCCGCTCCCGGCAAAAGTTAGGCCGCGCTTCGCCCAGCCCCCCCCTCCTCCTCCTCCTCCTGCGGAAGGGTTTCCAGTGGTGTTGTCGTGGGTGGCGTCCTTTGCGGCGGGGAGGGGGGCCGCGGACTGCCGCCGGCCGCCGTCGGATGCCCGGTTAAGGACCGTGGGTGCGACGAGGGGCGTCGGGTCTGCCCGAAGGAGGGACAGGGGCCGCCGGAACACCCGGTGGAAGGGCTCGATCTGCGAAAAGTGGCATGATGGAAAGTGGGGTGATGCCGACAACGGAATGGATGGCGACAATGAAAAGGTGAAGCTGGGTTAGGCGCAACGAAATGGTGAAAATGGGGTGATAACGGCGGAAATGGTGGATGGAAACAGAACGACGAAACTGGAACAACGGCAACAATGAAAGGTGAAACTGGTCTCAACGGAACAGTGAAAACGGAATGATGAAAATGAATGGGTCGAGTCGGGTAAAGATAAACCGGCAAACCGTGGCACTGCTGCCGGTTGGTGGCGGTCGGTGATGGCCGTATTGGCCAAGCGGAGAGGGAAGGGACGCATGGATCGAACCACACACTCTGCCTGCCGTATCGGATGGTCACTTGGGACTACGCCACGCAAGATACCGGCTCCATCGTGCAAGCGTACGTTTCATCCAGTGTGCCATACAAACGCCCGGTACCACCCCAAACCAATCATTCCGGACACACATACACCTCGGCATTGACGCAATTGTGCAGCATGATGCGCACCTGCTCTTGTCTCGCGATGACGTCATCAAGCATACATACAACTGCTGTATAACAGATGCGTAAAATTCTTCTTGTTGGTTGAGGTTCGCTGGGCTCGTCGAGTCAAAAAACACGTCAGCTGTTCGAGCTTGTGACACGTCACTGATGGTAGCTAGCTGGCAGCTGATTCAACATACCAACACATGCTTTGCTTTCATCTTGCATCACGCCTTCAAACACCACTATTGTACGGAGGCACGCCTTGTACACGATACACACCTCTGCCGTGTCAGCTGTCAGAACGATCGCGTCGCCACCCATCCAATTATCCTCGTCAGCCCACTTGGACACCCCCCCGGGTACCGTGCTCCCGTCCGCGCGCAGGCAGAGCACCACCTTTCTCGGTGCGTGCGGTACGATACGGTACGGTACGGTACGGTAGGAAAATTTGACGATTTTCTCTGGCGTTGGCGGTTGGATGTCAGCGGCAACGTCGTTCATGGTTTTCTACAACCTTGACGGTTTTCAGCAAGCTTTAGCAAGCTTTCACGGCTTTTCCGCAAAAGCTTGACGGTGTTCAGTCCCTTCTAATACTCCTATTAACTATCACCGGTCCAACTGACGCCGACGCGATCCGTGAGCCACAGGCCAACTACCCGCAACAGGGTATTGTACCCACTTCGAGAACAACCGACAGAAATCAAACCTGTACTTCCGGTTGGAATAATGACCACGGATTTGAGCGCCTACCGGCAGAAATGCTGAGCGCTGATTTACAGTGATGCCAACAAACAAAATGTATAAAACAACCATGGGAAAACCCGGGAGAGGCAACTCCCAACCGTAAAAATAACGGACCCGGTTTAGTTGAGCAGGACCGCGAGAACAATACTTCCTACTGTAGTTGATGAACCAGCTCACCTGCAAGGCGTGCTGCACCGACCGCTGGCAGTGGATGTGTCGTCCCAGCATGCCAGTGAAGACGCCTGACACACATCACACAGACGAAAATGAACAGCAGATGTGTTGCGTTTGCGTTATGTGTTGACGATGAGCGTGGCCGAACATTGACAAACCAAAGCTAAAGTATTTCGCCCTTACAAGCAAAAGAACCTCTATTAATATAAGAATTCAAAATCAAAAATTGGTGATGCCGAATTAGATGATCGTGCGAAATGAAAACGAAAAATGAACCACCCAACAATAGACAAGGGAGCACGGCAGCAAAGACGGCACCGGCGTATAGCTTGCACTATATATAGCTTGCACTAGAGGCACCGAGTCAACAAACTACAAGCAGTACCATTGGCACTTTTGACCTCTACTGTCACAAACGACGATAAGAACAACGACAACGAACATGAACCTCGTCCACGGCCATCACCGCAACAAAAAAAAAAAAAAACACTTGCTGTGGAAATCGCACAAATACAGGTAGCATTCGCTGACGCTGTGAATTCACTGCCAATCTATCTTAGACTCTTCTCAATGGATAGAGATGGATTCGTTGTTTCATATTAAGAAGAATACTAAAAGAGAACCAAAATCGTCTCTGTCAGATTTCCGCCTTTATTAGCTTTAGGAGGAGCTCAACATATCCTGAACCGAGAGTCGGCTTCGAGGATTTAAACGCAACCTTCATGTGCTGCTTCGTAGGCGTGCGTTAAAAAATAATGCCCGCTCGAGAAACGAAAAGTCCAGACACGCACCCCACCACTAACTAACCTTCAAGCTGATCCGAGGGCACGCGCAGGAGCTCCAACAAGTCGTCCAGGAACGCAAGCCGTCGCTCGTACATCCCCCCCCCGGCGCCCCCCTCCCCCCCCCCGTCGCCTGCGTCGCCCCCTTTCCTCACAGAGCAAGTCTTGAGAGCCTCCGCCAGCGTTTCTCTGCACGCCGCTAGGCGTAGCATCTGGCCGCTGTGCAGGGGGGGGCGGCCGGCAGCGGCGGCTCTGACTAGGCCTTGGGCTGCCCAGACCACGATGTGGTCGCACAGCCGCACCAAAACCTTGGACGTGATTTTGTGATGGGCCAATCCATGATCCGCAAGGTGCCACGTGCACACGGGTGGGGTATGGCGAGGAAAGAAGAGAGGTCATCGCGACGGCTATGTAGGCAAAGGGGTTCAGGCTCATCGAGGGGTCGCCGTATGTTACAACAGCGGATTCTTGCAGCAATAATAGTAAAAATAGAACAGGATGAAGGGGTCGCGTAATCATCATTCACATGACATCGCCCGTTTCCCATACGCAACTCACGGTAAACCTCTGAAGCTTTGACCATCGGTCCAGGGGATATGGTATCCTATGCAATCCCACGGTATCTTTAGGATTTCATTACGGAACCGTGAGGGCATGGTCAGTCAAGGCTCTGCTGAGCAGCAAACACCTTTTGGTAGAAGTACTCCTCTAGCCAGGGCCTGAGGAAGTTGATGCAGTAGTACTCCAGCGCTTCCCTGATCTCCACCATCGACTCCTCCGCCCCCGCCACGTGGATGCCCTCCAAGGCAAACAGCCCGTCTGCCTCCATGAACCCTGTCGACGACAAAAATAAAATAAAAAAAAAGCGGCAGCAACGCGGGTGCAAGAATTGTCACCATGCCGCCCGAAGGTACAATATGCAGCCCGATATAGTGGCAACTTGAATAGTGGAACTGTCGATATATTTAGTGGCGTCAAAGTCTCTTTGTCACAATCTCAACAAGCACCTGAACCCGATATATCGAATTGTGGCACTCCCCTGAATAGTGCCCTATTCTCCTCTTGCCCCTACATGCCACTGTATCGGGCTGCTTACTGCTGTATACAGATAGCGCCTTGGCAATTTAGTTGAAAACTTTATTATCAACATTGTACATACCAAACGTAGCAACTTGAGCACCGTTTACAAACCGGTCAAGCTTAACCCCCACACTAAAACCTACATGATGGTCATTTGTAGCCCACAAGAGGAACTACTGTAAGAACCCCCGCCCTAAGCCAATGTATGTGTGTGTTCGTCTCATCTATTCTGGCGCCGGTTTACAGGCCTTTCGACGTATATACCATACCTGACGTATCACCCGGGTTTCACACAAGAGGAAGGCCACACAGGAGCCTTTTTTCAGTTCAAAACTAGAGGTTCTTGAAGGTGGGCACTGTCTGTATGCTCACCTCCAAGCAGGGTGTCAACGCTTGAAAGCGAAAATATCGAACCGTGGTACCTATGCCTACAGTAGCACCACCATCCAAAAAGGTTGTAGTTTTCTCTGCCACGTGGCGGTTATGTCATCTTTTTTTTCTCTCTGTTCGTGCAGCAGAGCTTGATACTAGAGTTTCAGGTGTGGCTTTGTGGCAGCATTCTTGCCTAGGACTAGCCGAGCGGCCTTCCGGCAGCAGCTGACGCCCAGCAGCACCCACAGCTCCTTCAACGTCTCGTACGACTCCTCCGCTCCCTCTGCGACATCGGCAACAACGACAGGCAGACATGTGCGGGCAGGAAAAGGGGGAGGAGGGGGGTAAATGAAGTAAAGCTACGCGTGTGTTACAACGCAATAGCTAGTGCTGCGGAACAATACCTACGAGAGAATTATTACTCATCCATGCGGCCACGAGTGTTGCGTGTGTGCAAACCTGCGCGTGTGCAAACCTGCGCGCGTGAAACAGATTCTTGCTGCTGGGTCTTGCCGGACATAGATCGCCACCGATAACATTAACAACAACAACAACAACAACAACAACAGCAGGAGCAGCAGCAGCAGTAACAACGACAACATCATCATCATCATCATCATCAACAACAACAGCAGCAACAGCAGCAGCAGCAGTAACAACGACAACATCATCATCATCGTCATCAACAACAACAACAGCAACAACAACAACAGCAGGAGCAGCAGCGGCAGTAACAACGACAACATCATCATAATCAACAACAACAACAATAACAACAATAACAACAACAACAACAACAACCTCTAAACCAAGACCGCGCGTGCACGTCACCACAGCACAACACCAACACAACACTCCCCCTCACCAGACATAGCCTGGGGATGCCTCTCCTCTATCGCCGGCAACGCCTCCGACACGAGGTGCCAGCAATCGTTCGCCGTGGCGCACAGAAATCTCAGAAGCTTGTCCCACCCCTTTTCCGGACACTGCGAGACCGCCGCCTCAGCGTGCGCCGATATGACGTTGCGGAGAGACCCGAGGGCGCCTGCGCCCGCCCTGAGAATGACGGCCTATTATATTTTCGCGGGAGGGGGGGGCGGGTAGCAGAGTTGCTTTATTAAGTTGTGGTAGAACGTGAAGGCATCTGAAGCGGAGCCAGTTTCGGCCCTTGAAACGACTTTTTTGACGTTTTTGTTCACAGGTTTATGTTGTCCTTCGGTCACATCAAACAATGTTAGGGTAATCGTAAAAGGCAAAGTCTTTCTACTAGGTGTTTGTTGCCCACGCATGTCGTAAAGGTGATACTAGGGGCGGCCGCCATGGAATGAAATTACCGCGTTCTTTTTACGTACAGAACTCGGCGCAGCACAGCAGTGTTGGGGCCCCTAAGTGTTGGGTAGTGGGGCCCCGCAGAATCAAAACACGCAATTCTGGGACGAACCGCCAAAACAAACAACACCGTAAGGGTGCGAGATAGCGCACGGGTGTGCGATCGATTTTTGAATGATTTTGTTCTTGACTCTTTATCGCACGCCGGGGCGATATCGCCGGCACGTGCGATATCACCGCACCGTGCGCTCTCTCGCATCCTTGCGGTATCCCCCCCGACTCTAGAGATGGATGCAGTTCCTTCGAAAGGCCGACAGGTTGGTAGACAGCGATTGCCTTTGAAAAAAAATGGGTTCAAGGTTCGGGACTGCTGTAACCACCTTTGACAGGTATACCGTATATGACACAAGATAACACACCCCCTGGACCGATTTTCAAAGCTCGATTACTCCACGACGAAGAGGATGCATAAATGAAACAATACGTTTTCGAACAGCTCTCGACGAGACGGTTCCAACGCCGCCGTTTTCGGCGCTGTGACTCTTCCTGCTGTTGAGAAATCGAGCTTTGAAAATCGGCCAAGGGGGTGTGTTATCTTGTGTCATATACGGTAACTCCGGACTATTTTCGTCGAAAATGGGATGGAACCACACACACACAAACAGTCTTGGAATCTTGGAGGGCAGGGGACGCACACGCGGGTATCGTTGCCTCCCACATCGAAGGGCGCCAACGACGAAACTTGTCTTGACGGTCAGGGTTGGGGCTAGGTGTTAGGCTAAATAGGTAGGATAGCCGCCTGTCTTCATCTTAACACGCACCCTCGGAAAAAGAAGCGTGTAAGTACTTCCGTTCCCTTGGCCTCCACCCCTTGCCCTACAAACAAGTACGAACCCCCCTGCCCCGTATATCCTCCCGCCCCCTGTCCCCCCCCAGAAACACCTTAGCACCTGCACGCCTGCGTCGTCTGGAAACCTCTTCGCCACCGTCACGACATACGTGTCCAGAAGCGCTATCGCCGTCGTGGGCACCACGGACAACGGCTTAGCCGTCGACTCGTGCAGCGTCCACATGGAAAACCCGAGCTGCTGCTGCTGCTGCTGCCGCCGCTGCTTCGACTTGGTCCCTCCCACCCCTACCCCCCGGCCTGCTAGCTTCATGCGCATGAGGGCGTTGCTGGTAGGGGATTTGGGCTGTGGGTTCCCCTCCCCCGCCTGGTCTGAGGTTGCCGATGGCTCGGGAGGGAACTCGTGGGTTTCCTATCAGAGACGCGAAAAAAAAAAAGGAGCGGAAATAAAAAAAGAGCGAGAAACAAAACGAGCGAAAGAAAGCGGGAGACAGAAAAAACACTTTGAAAAATGCAAGTCAGCAAAAGTACCATCGGGTGTTGTGCCAGTATACACATGAGATGTTGATATATACAGGAAACAAGGTGCGCAAGACAACGTTTGTTTTCTGCGTGGTTCAGGTCAACAGCCAGAGCAACAACAGGCAACGCCCGACAGTGTCTTAGGACGGAGCCTTGTCTACCCCCCCAACAACAAGTATCAGTGTTTCTCCTGCCCTTGTTCAGATACCCTACTATTGCCGAGGGTTTTCCTAAACAGCTGTAATCGTGATTCGTGTCGAGAACGTTCCGAAACAGCCGTGCCTCGTAGCAAAACTGCTGTACCTTGATAGTGCCACGGACATCCCTCAGCAGCTGTACATACCTAACAAACTGCTGTACCCTGTTAGGGTAGACAATGTTCCTAAATAAACAGTTGTACGCCTGAAAACTCTGTTGTACTGTACCTTATTGGTGTCGAGGATGTTCCTAAACAGTTGTAAACCTTCCAAAAACTGTTGTACACACCCTATTGGTGTCGACAATGTTCCTAACCAAACAGTTGTGCACCTGGAAACTCTGTAGTACTGTACCTTATTGGTGTCCAGGACGTTCCTAAATAAACAGTTGTACACGGTAAAAAAAACTGCTGTACCTTACTGTTGTCGAGGATGTTCCTAATAAACAGTTGTACACCTGGAAACTCTGTAGTACTGTACCTTATTGGTGTCGAGGACGTTCCTAAATAAACAGTTGTACACGGTAAAAAAAACTGCTGTACCTTACTGTTGTCGAGGATGTTCCTAAATAAACAGTTGTACACCTGAAAACTCTGTTGTACCGTACCTTACTGTTGTCGAGGATGTTCCTAAACAGTTGTACACGTTAAAACAAAATGCTGGACACACCCTATTGGTGCTGACAATGTTCCTAAATAAACAGTTGTACACCTGAAAACTCTGTTGTACTGTACCTTGTTGGTGTCGAGGATGTTCCTAAACAGGCCGGACAGCTTCCCCTCGATGCTGGTGGCGTACGCCCGGAGCAGCCACGGCACGCTCACGGCCTTGGTGAGCAGAGGCGGGGGCGACGACCTCCACCCGACGAGGTCGAGACGAGGCTGGAGCGTTCGCTGCCAATTCGTTTGAGACCAGGGAGCGTGTGGGGGTGGGTGCCAGGAGTGGTCCCGTTGTTTTCGTTACAACGATGAAGAGAAGTCTGAGATACCATAGCGGCTTCGTGTTGAACCAGCCGTTTCATGGAAGGGGTCGCGGGTGGATCCTCGTACGCTCGGGGTTGTCGGTTGGGTATACGTCGGGGACTTGTTGTGTGCGATAGACTGACGGAAGTTAGGGGTGATTGTTGTGGAGCGATACACCATGACATCTACCAACCCGGTCGACCTCATGAATAAAAAATATACCTATGCAGTTAGGCCTCGAGATGACATTTCTTTTAGGCCAAGAAAGTGCCCACGGTCGTTAGCAGCCTAGAGTGCAGATTGTTGCGGTGGTTTTATGACTCCCATTAGTTAGGATCGTTCACAAACATCGTGCAGTTATTGTATGCTAGGGAGGGGCGAGAGGCTAGAGAACCGGACGACCAACCATCACTCCAATTGCTTGTATGCAGGTACCTCTATGAGATCCGCCTTGTTAACGAGGACGTCGAGAAGTGCAAGCAGCTCTTGATCGGCGAGAGGAAGCACGCCCTCGTAACGGAACGTGATGTGTCTTCCCACTTCGTCCACCACCTGAAAAAAAGACACAGCAGATGACAACAACGTGATTATACATCAACGAACAGAAAAAAACGCGGCGAAAAATATTACGGTTCGGATGCACGCGATGATGTGCACCAGAACGTGAGGCGTCTTCCCACTTCGTCCACACCACCTGAAACAGCACAGCAGTTACGTACACATTCATATACCTTTAGTAGAGGATAAGAAACGCGGCGAAACTCGTTGCGGTTCGGGTGAAAGCGATAACTTGCACCCTGTGTGCCCCCGCAGGCAGGGAGCTGCCAACACCTCAAGAGACGATGACCCATCACCACGTTGGCTATTTTCTCTCTACAGTAGTAGACTTTGGCCCACCTTAGCTCCGGCCTCGCCTCCTCTTATCCTCTCATTCCGTTACTTCATAATCCGTTCTTGTGTACTGTAACACCCTCGCCATAAAAACCCACCCGCCAATTTACCCCAGGCCATCGGTGCTCGAGTATTTCTCTTCCCAAACCGACAGCCACGACGTGAATAATACATGCATGCATGCATACATGCATACCTTGATGTAGCACTGAGAAGCAAGCACCTCGACGGCTCTCCTTAGCACGCTCTCCGGCACCGTGTCGGCGCAAAGGAGCATCTCCGTCACCTGCGATCGATCACGATCATGACGTCAGCCACCAAACAAGCGCGACGCCAGACATAAAAGATAGCGGAGGTGTCTTAAGCATTCCAAAGCCAGAGCAGCCTAGACACACCAGAGAACAAGGAACCGATGAGGATGGAGCGATGATTGTCTCACAAGTCTACAGCGAGGAAGAAAATCAGTCCTACTACAAGTAGAATCTCGCGGCAGAGTTTTCCTTTTTTTGTTAGAAACTTCTGTGAAAACCAGCTCTACATGGCAACAACAGCAGCTCATCACGAGGTCCAGGGTACAATACTTCGATGTACGCGCCTCTTTCTGAACAACTGAACAAGAAAAGGAGCGCCGGGTGGAACACACTCATAAAAAGATCAACCATCTTCGCTTGGCCGCTGCATGAACTTCTTTGCACTCAACCGGAAACAAATAACACTCGAGTCGATCCATCACTTTTTTTTTTTTTTCTTCACTTCAAATCAGCGCTCACAGCACTAGTGCCGTTTATTCCGACCCGTGGTCACACAGAAGAGTCCCTCTCTACCCTCCCCATTGCCCCCCTTCGATGTTCGTAACTATCAACTCAGGGAGACCAGTGACTCGCAAAGAACAAAAACACTCACCATGCGGTCGAGGGCACCACACAAACCCTTGACGACCTTCATGCTCCCCTGCAGAGCGCGCCCCGGTCCGGATGGCCTAGCGGGGGAATCTTCGCCCTCGTCCGCTTCCGCTTCGGCCTCGATCTCAGACAGAACCGCGCTGCGCTGGTGCGCCGCCTGTTTGCGCCAGTGGAGGATTAACGAGAGGAGGAATCGGAGCTGGATAGATGTACTTTACGTGTGTGAGTTGAGCAAGAAGAATTAATCGGTTGCGGGAGTTAGGTGTGTTTGGGGTGACTGTTGAGTAAATAGCGGCAGCAATCGTATCGTCATGAGCCAGCCGTCGACACCACGGCGATGAAAAAAAAGCAAGCAACAAGAACAGCAGCAGCAGCAGCAGCAACAGCAACAAGAACGACAACCTACAACGCGACAGCAACAACACCAACAACACCACCAAAGACGACGACAGCAGCAACAACAACAACAAAGAAAGCAACTAAAATACCACGAAAAACTACTCCACCGCTACCCAAAATCCAACCAACCCCGCGGGGCCCACACACACGCCCCACCAACAAACTTATCGTCTTACCTCTGCATCCATGCATCCCACGAGAACGCCCCAGTCCTTGCGCTTGACCGCGGCGCAGATCTGCAGCTTCTGTGCCGGAGTTTCCGCCAGCAGCTGCCTCAAGTAGGCGTGCAGCCTCACCAGTCTGCTCCACAGGGTCCAGAGCACGGCCTGAAAAGGGGAATACAACGTCAACGGAGAAGGGATGCAAGTTTCATCCGCGGGGTACGGTGTTTCTTTAGGGCAATTTTTCACAGGCTATGTATCCGCCCTCTTTCTCGAACTGGGGCGTATGGAAGGGCCATGGCGTTCCCTACGGGCGGGACAAATAATTCACGCACACCCAAGCTCCGAGAGGAGAGGGAGTGTTGTCAACGACAAGAATGGCGAGGACGAGGACGAGGACGAGGACGAATATGACGACGAAGATCCCAACAAAAAAACAGCAACACCACTACCACTACTACCACCACCAACCCTGACACCCTCTCGACAGCCCCCCCCCCCCC